GTTCTATTAAAGGGAATCCTGCGAATTTTGAGTCTGTTTCAGAGGGTTGAAGAAGTCTTTGGTGGCCTTTGGTTATTTTGAGTTTCTTTAAAAATAGAATCTAAACAGCACTTGTCCTTCCTTCTTGCACTGCCCTCCAGAGAGCATTCACTACAGACTGCCCCTTCTGGGCCCCCGGGCAGGGGCCTTCCGCGAGCTGTTGTCAGACTCCTACAAGGCTCTGCGGGGGATACAGCTCTCTGCCACGCCCAGAAAGGAGCCCACGGGCAAGACAGTGAGGCAGTGAGTGATCGGTGCTCAACACTTTCCACTCCAGAGAGAAAACAACCTCACCAAGCCAGTCTCTCCTCATTGCCTCCTGTCACCAAAACAGTGAGTCAAGTTTGCCTCCCTCAGAGTGGCTGGAATCCCCTCTTGCCACCGTCTCACACACTTCTCCTAAAGACGGTGGCTTTATTTATACAATTATAAAGATTTATTGATTAAAATGGAACACTTTGTCATCAATTTTATTTTGGTAAAGATTCTTAATTGTGTTATAATAGGCACCATTTCCTTGTTTCTAAGACATGAGTTTTCTGTGGAAATTATTTCAGCTCTTCCTTCAGGCCAGGGGGCTGGAGATGGCTCCTGGAGGTCCCTCAGGATTCAGCCCATGAAGAAAAAAGGAGATAAATGGAGGTCGCCCTTCTGTCCTTATCTCTGTCGGTTAACTCTGGTAGATGACAGAGGATACTGTGCTTCTATAACTGGAATAAGGTACAGGGTCACTTGTAATCCTTGAGGACAGGAACTGTGACTTGTCTTGCTCTCCTCATGACACCTTGCGTATATCAGATATTCATCTAATCTTTGTTCAATCCAGTTCAAACCCAATGCTGCGTTTTGTAGTTGCTTATTTTGGTTTGAGGACCTGTCTCACCAGGTGTGTCCTGGCTCATGTATCAGCAGTGTCAGGGAGACCAAAGAAAACTCTAGGCTTCCAGCTATTATATTTATGACCCCAAATT